AAAAAAAAAAAAAGTCAAATATCTCAAAACTTCATATACTACTTGTTGAAATGATAGTATTTTGGATAGATAGGGTTAAATAAAATATTTCAATGAAAAGTAAGTGTGCCTTTTCTTTTCAACCTTTTCAATATGGCTATTAAAATATTTAGAATTATATAAGTGACTTGCATCTTTTACAATATTTATTTACTTAAGTTTTGGGGTGCACGAGCAGGATGTGCAGGTTTGTCACACAGGTAAACGTGTGACAGCTTGCATGATATTTCTACTGGCCAGTGCTGCTCTAGAATCTTGGGAAAAGTCATGGACTCCCTACAATATAAAGCACAGGGAACCTAAACCGCTTTCTTTGGATATTAAAGAAAAGGTGATTCTAGAATGTTGGGACAGAAGATAGTAGCCATTGCCAGGTTAAGTGTGAGAAAATATAAATTTATAAGGATAGATGACTCATTTATTTTAGCAACATTTTGTTGAATTGAACAATAATTCCTACAAATACCAAGTGTTCTTAAAATAGAATTTAATTTAAACAAAAAACTTTTCAAGAACACATTTATAGCAGGCGATACAACTTTCCAAAATGAAGAACTTACATTTGATCCTTAGAATTAAACTAAAAAAGAAAAAACAAAACAACCAACCAAAAAAAAAAAAAAAAAAAAAAAAAGTAAACTTTCCCCCCAGGGGGATAAATGGCTGTCTATTCCAATACCTTAATGTGTTGAACAGCGACTGCCCAGTCTGAGGTTACTACTTCATACATTCAAGTAGAAATTAAAAAAAAAAAAGAGAGAGAGAGAGCCAGGTGTGGTGGTTCACACCTGTAATTCCAGCACTTTGGGAGGCTGAGGCAGGAGAATCGCTTGAGAGCAGGAGTCCAAGACCAGTCTGGCCAACATGGTGAAAAACCCTGTCTCTACTAAAAAAACAAAACAAACAAACAAACAAACCCACACACTTCGAGACCAGCCTGACTAACACAGTGAAACCCAGTCTCTACTAAAAATATAAAAATCGGCTGGGCACAGAGGTGGGAGCCTGTAATCCCAGCTACTCGGGAGGCTGAGACAGAAGAATCGCTTTAACCCAGGAGATGGAGGTTGCAGGGAGCCAAGATGCCACCACTGCACTCCAGCCTGAGCGACAGAGCTAGGCTCCACCTCAGAAAACAAAACAAAACAAAAAAAACACACAAAAATTAGCAGGGTGTGGTGGTGGTTGCCTGTAATCCCAGCTACTTGGGAAGCTGAGGCAGAAGAATCACTTGAACCCAGGAGGCAGAGGTTGCAGTGAGCTGAGATCACGCCACTGCACTCCAGCCTGAGCGACAAAGCAAGACTCTATCTCGAATGAATGAATGAATGAATGAATGAATGGAATAGAATAAATAAAATATATATGGGGCTACAGTCATTTATGGATTGTATTTATTTCATACCAAATCTATCCTTTGAGCCATTCTCAATAAATATAGGAGGAAAAATAAAAATATAATTCTGACTCCAAGTTAGCTAAACTGGATGTAACCAGAAAACTAAGAAGCACCGGGCGCGGTGGCTCACGCCTGTAATCCCAGCACTTTGGGAGGCCGAGGCAGGTGGATCACGAGGTCAACAGATCGAGACCATCCTGGTCAACATGGTGAAACCCCAACTCTACTAAAACTACAAAAAATTAGCTGGGCATGGTGGTGCGTGCCTGTGGTCCCAGATACTCAGGAGGCTGAGGCAGGAGAATTGCCTGAACCCAGGAGGCGGAGGTTGCGGTGAGCCGAGATCGCGCCATTGCACTCCAGCCTGGGTAACAAAAGCGAAACTCTGTCACAAAAAAAAAAAAAAAAAAGAAAACTAAGAAGCTCTAATTCAGTGCCTCTATGTTCTATATTAATATACACTTATCTGGCATATGGGATCTGCAAACTTCAGACCTGGGATGATGTGTCATATGGTCTAGTCTCTTTATTTCACAGATATGGACACTGAGCCACAGAGAGACAAGTAACTTATCTGCAATCAGACAGGTACTTAATGGCAAGACAGGACTTAAGCCACACAATGTGACAGCACAGCGCCCTGGGTGGGACCTTGATATTTCCTCATGGCCAACTTGGGTTGGGTGAAAACTGGGGTTTATCGTACTGACTCACAGGGGTTTTCAGGAAGATTAAATAATCCCTCTGTAAGATGTGGACACAGCATTTGTAACATATGTCATGCATTGAACATTGAGCTCATTTGAGGGAGTTAAGCTCACACCCTCGCTTCCTTCCACCTTCCTGCCCTAGCTACGCATGTAAGTGTTCTTTCTCCTGAAAACTTCACCCTCAGCATAAGGAACAGCTGTGGACTCCAGGAAAGCACTCCCTCCTCCTTTATTCATGTATTTCGTGGTCGCCAGGAAGCCTGGAATCTACCTGAGAGCCCCATGGCCGTGGATGGATGGCTTAGGATGACAATGATGAGTATTTGGGATGTAAGACACTCAAAATGAAACCCAGTTTCCAAGAATGAAGGTGCTTACCACACACAGGACATAGGACTGAGGGTGTCTACCCCAACCAGGGCACAAAGTAAATCTAAGAGTACACTCAGATTTCATCCCCCTTCCTTCTCCTACATCCTTCAACCCCATCTTGAGCTATCCAGACATGCCCTCAGCCCAAGTAACCTATTTATCAAACAAACACACAAAATCGTTTTTCCTTTTTTTCCCCAGTCAGCCATGCCCTGGCTCTGGAATAACAGGTTGACATATTTCATACAAAGATGCCAATCTTTATAAACCTCAAAAGGTAGGCTTGTTAATGGAAATCAATACCAAACTGGTAGCTTCTTGTAGGGGAGGTATTTTTCTGTACACACACACACACACACACACACACACACACACTCAGACACACACACACAGAGGAGCCAGTGACTTGGCACCCAATCTTGCAAGTTTTCCAGGCCTCCTAGAACTAATGGATATTGGGACAAGTTACTTTTTAGCAGGAGTTTGTCATTTCAGAGAAGAAGAAAAATAAGGCAAAAAACACGGAACTGTGTTTTTACTGCTCTTTCTCCGTGTTAGTCCCTACTTCCAGAAGGGACCTCAGCAGGCACCGAAAGGCCATGAACCACTGGTTTCCGCAGGCTTCATTCTCGCCCTAGTCTAACTGAATCCCAAACTGGCAGTAAACGATGGCAGGGCTTCCGAGGGCATTTGCTTATCCAGTGACCCAATGTGGAGTCAAGGGGATGGGATGGACCCAAGGCAAGCCCCAACCATGACATGCCTCTGAGCCAGGAAGCTGGAGGCACCATACCTTTGCAGGTGAAACACTTGATGTGGAAATGTTTGGTCTGGACCCGAAGCACTTCACCCTTGCAAGGCTCCCCACATTTATGGCAGTGAATGACAGGCTTCTCCGATGGGTGGTGAGGGTCCTGAGGGTGGGCCACTGAAAGAAAATCAACAAAAGATCCAGGTGAGTAGACAGCATTCCTGCAAAACGGGTCATCATAGTATCTCTGTAATTTTGGTGTCAAATGAGCCACACAGATTGATTCGACAGTGTGAACAGAGCAGTCCCTCCAAGCCATAATCCTGGAGACACAAAGACCCATATGACAGTCGTGGCTTTAACAGCCTGGGGGGGAAACACCAGGCATATTCCTCAGTGGAGGCTGCTCTCTTCTCCCTTCCTCCCAAGCTTCTCTAGGATGACATCATTGCACTATTGAGTATACAATCTTGTTTGGCTCAATATTTTGTAATATGGATTTGTAATATGTCTTTATCTTGATTTAGAAGGCACCTTCAGAAGGTGTTCCCTGTGGACTGTAAGTCCCTGTGGATGGGGGTCATTTCTTCAAGTTTATCCTTTTTGTCTCCCCAGTTGTATTTTTCTCTCTCCTTCTCCCAGCTTCTCAGGACACAGTGGAATGTTCATGTACCAAAGGTGCTCGGTAAACGTTTCTTTACTTATTAACTTAGTATGTGCTGGACAGTTTCTAGCCTACTTTACCAGAGGGTCATTCCTGATCATCAATGGCAACTCATCTAACCTGTTGGGGGCCTATGGTAAGCCTCCTGTTATGTGCATAGTGTCTGATACGCACACTGCAGGCAGGATTTTTTTTTTTTTTTAAATAAACTAGGAACAATGTGGATCTCTCTGAACCTTAGTTTCCTTTCCCATAAAACAAAGGGGATTGGCCCAGAGGATTTATAGGATCTTTTCAGACCCTAACATCACATGATGGAGCTTCCAAGGATACTAAGAGAAATACTAAAAGAATACTCTTGGTTTCCAGAGTATGACCTTCAGAGAATAGAAGTTATGGAGGCTGCCCAGCTTCAAGACTGGGACGTACAGAGTCCCCTTTACAAAGGCGCAGAGAGAAGGCAGTGAGAGGACACTCGTGGCTTTGAGCTCACCGAGAGTCTTCATTTAACTTGCAGTTTCTCCAGACACAGAATGAAGATGGGCAGTGTTTGTTACCAAAGTCCTTTTATGATGTGGGGCCTCAGAAGGAGGAACATGGTGATATTTAAAAATTTACTTCTTAAGTAATCACACGAGTGTTATAAAGGACAAGAACATTGAACCTAAAATTAATCAGCCAATACAAAGATGATTTTCTCTCAAAAAGTAAAGCTGGGTTGAGCAGGGGGTAGATGTGGGCAGATACTGCTGAAACTCAGTTTAGAAAACACCTTACAACAAGGAGCTCGCTGTATACCACAAGTACAATAGTTCACTGTTTCTCTCAGACCTCTGCCATGTTCTCATTTTGCCTGGAAAGAGTTTGAACAAGATAGTCCAAATAATCCATTACTGGCTACCTTCTGAGAAACAAGGTTCTTCTTGTGAGATGCTGACGAGGAGCAGGTGTCATTTCAGGTGGAACATCTGATCTGTGTTCTCTGCAATGGACCCTGGGAATGGCCACAAAGATACCAAGGTTGCAATTCACCTGCATTCCCTTGTCTACCTCCTGGGATCTCACTTGAAAACCTGTATTTACAACATAACTCCTGTATTATCTAAAAGAATTAGGAGGGACATGCTATCAAGATCTCTAAACAATGACTGACTTTTAAAGAGTTGTGTATCAAGGCCAAAAAAATCTATCCCTTGCAGATAAAAAAAAAGTTTTCCTTAAGAATATCTGCTTTAAGCATGTGTGTGTGTGTGTGTGTTTGAGACACAGTCTCACTCTGTCACCCAGCCTGGAGTATAGTGGTGCAGATCTCAGCTCACTGGAAACTCCGCTGCCTGGGTTCAAGCAATTCTCCTGCCACAGCCTCCCAAGTAGCTGGGATAACAGGCACCCGCCACCCCGCCCAGCTAATTTTTGTAGTTTTAGTAGAGACAAGGTTTCACCACCTTGGCCAGGCTGGTCTTGAATTCCTGACCTCGTGATCCACCCAGCTTGGCCTCCCAAAGTCCTGGGATTACAGATGTGAGCCATAGCACCCAGCCAAGTGCTTATGTTTTTTTAAGTTAATTCCTGCTTCCTATAAAAAAAGGAGATAAGTACTATTTATTGGCATCTACTAAATGCCACACATAGGGCAAGGTGTTTACATATAAGCCACTTTATTCCATCCTCATCACCCCTCTCTCTCAGTCAAGTGAGTAATACTGCTCCCATTTGACCGCTGACAGGTGAGGAAACACAGCCTCAGAGAAGTTGAACAGAGGAAGCTCAAAGATCCACACTCAGGCCTTTCTGACTGCTAGGTTCATGCTCCTTCCATACTGTTTGTATAAGTCAGAAAATTGTTGTAAGTCAAAAATAATTATTATCATTATACCTTTAATTTATATAGGCAAGTTCAAGTGCAGTTCTAAAAGCGGCAGCTAGGGCTTGGCTTATAAAGGGGACACGCTTAGCTCTAAGGTTTTTGATAACTGAGCATGGCACCCAGGTGGTAACACTCAAGGCAACTCTATGGATCCCCCAATCAGAATCGTCTGGAACAAATGCCCATCAATAATAGACTGGATCAAGAAAATGTGGCACGTATACACCATGGAATACTATACACCCATAAAAAAGGATGAGTTCATGTCCTTTGCAGGGACATAGATAAAACTAGAAACCGTCATTCTCAGCAAACTAACACAAAAACAGAAAATCAAACACCGCATGTCCTCACTCATAAGAGTGGGAGTTGAACAAGGAACACATGGATGAAGGAAGGGTAACATCACACACTGGGGCCTGTTGGGGATCCACGGTTAGGGTAGAGATAGCATTAGGAGAAATATCTAATGTAGATGACAAGGTGATGGATGCAGCAAACCACCATGGCACATGTATACCTATGTAACAAACCTGCACATTCTGCACATGTGCCCCAGAACTTAAAGTAGAATTTTTTTAAAAAGTAGGTTCTTCAGCCCCAGTGACTAAGAATGGGAGTCAGGTATCTATCTTTTTAGTAAATTACTCAGGTGATTCTTATGCATACTCCAATTTAAGAGCTATTTCCCCTTAGAATTCAGACAATATGAATACACCAGCTACAGAGAAGACTTACAATTTCAAAAGTAATTCACAAGACCATTCTCTTCAGCAACAATATGAGAACATAGTGAATCGCTTGACTATACAGGAGAATGCATTTTTGGATAAGAAAATGCACTGCAGTTTCTCTTAACATTTGAATTTCTTTATTGCTAAGCAAGGCAGTCATGCTGAGTAATGATGATGGAAGGAAAATATCATTTCACTTCTTGGCTTTTCTCTGCATCTGAATAAAGGAGCCACTGCCAATGCTGGCACCAGCTGCCAAGGTCAGAACTGGGATCAGCGTCTGCATTTTGCAAGAGTTTCCCTTTGGAAATATAGTTTACACCAAAGTCCTCCATGTCCAGAGATGACGTGCTTTGCTCTCACCTAGAAACTAGACTGTGTTTACTTGCCCTTCCTTCATACAACAGCCTAGGCAGAAACATGTAGGAACAACTCATTTGTAAAGAAATGGGCTTTTCTTATTAGAGAAAGACAGAATCCGAAGACCAAAAGAAATTCAGTTCTTATTTCATCCCAACTAAAGTCAGTGTCAACGAAAGAATCTCTCTCCTTCTCAAAAACAAATCAAGAGGTTAACTTTATATAACTGTCTTTGACAGTCTGGTTATTTCCAAATGTATGTTTGTTGACTTGATGCTACAGTTTTGAAATATGCTGGGTCATGTGCAATATAGACATGACATTGATTCTGTACTCCCCTTATCTGCCAACTGGCTCTGCTGCGAATTTTTACTTGACTGTTCCATCTTTCAAGGCCCAAGTGGGCCCTACATATTCTACTGATAGGGAAACTGAGGAGCAAGTTTACATTCCTGGTCCAAAGTCATCAGGAGTTACTGGCAGAGGTGCACTTAGCACTCAGGCATCCCAATACTTTCCACCACGCTGAGTAGTCAATGATTTACCCTGAAACTTGAGCAGACACAGTTAAACCCTTCCATGGCTCATCAATTTTGTTACCTAAATAAGGATCGTACAATGAAAAACCAAAAGCATGGTTGCACACCCTCTGAACAATGAGAAAATACCTATGAAGAGCGAAGAGTCTACCAGCCTGAAAAGGTAATGGGATTCCTCCACTGCAGAATACCCAGTTTGGAGGAATTCTCACTGCTCAGCTAAGCAGCCGATTGCACAGCTTACTGAGGAGTTTCACACTGTCTTTCACAGTCAAGGAAAGCAGGTCAGCCACGTCTCTGAACTCCAGTGCAGGACAGAAAGCAAAAATGCCATTTTTGATGTGTTACTTTTGGGATGTCTATTAACAATCTCAGGCAATGACACTAGCTGAATGAAACCTTTGAAAGAAATCCCAGAAATCTTCAGTGCAGTCCAACAGAGGTCGTAACAGGTCACAAAAGGAAGACCACAATGCTAAGCAGAGTCCCTCTTTCAAATCCAGAACTAGCCTCCTCTTGCCCAAGCTAGCTCTCTCTGGGGGGCAGACCGTGGAACTAGACCACCAGAAACAGAACATCTGGGAAAGCACATTTGAAATAAAAATCTCCTTAGCGGGTAAATATCACAAACCTGTGACAGAATACTATTCATTACAGCTTGCTCTGGGTCATCTGAAGTATTCAGTGTCTCGCAGGTAACAGACACAATCTCTACCTCAAGTCCCCATCCTACCCCATTGTACCATCACTCCCTAACCCATAAACCTTTGGAACAACATGGTGCTTGATGGCTTCCAAAGCCCTTTCATCTGCTCTATCTCATTTCACTCACGGTATTCTCAGGTAGGAAGAACAGGTATCTTCAACCCCTTCTTAGAAATAGATAAACTGAGGCTCAGAGGAATGAAGTGACTCACCCAAGGTGGCACAGCTAAGAAATAGAGTTGGCAGTAACCTAGTGCAGTGACTTATAATCCAGACCTCTTTATACCAGAATAATCCCCTAATCACCT